GAGGTTCAGAAAGGACCCCCTTGCTTTCTAAATTCCTCAGAGAAGAGTCTAGGTGTGGCTGGGTCCAATCCTAGTCCCAGACTTGGTCAACGGTTTATGTCTAAAGGATTATACATGCGCAGTCAATCCTTTGTATCACTTAGCTAAGATTTCAAAGTTTCAGTGTGCTTATTCCCAATTCACTTACTGAGTATCTGACGTGATAAGGATTCTCTCAACCTCGAGGAGTAACCTTGAGGGGCGTCCTTACTCAAGGGGAGATCCTAGCATGCAGCCTGCTGCTGTGCAGGAGAGCTCAAAGAGTTCTTGGGCTGCTCACTATTTATGGGGGTAAGATGATTGACTCATAGTCATATTTACATCCTGGCTGCAGATGTTAGTTTCTTCCAAATTTGGCTTGAGTTAGACATTGACCAGCACTGTGGTTAGGTGGATGCATTGCCATAAATTAGCCCTTGGCTATTGTGTTGTTATCGGTCTCCCCAGAATCCACTTTCAGCCGGATGCATCCATCATAACCAGATGCATCCATTATGACTGCCACTGCTGGTTATCACTTGAGCAGGGTTACGGGAAAAGGTTGGGGGGGAGCACACTGTCAGAAGGACTCCAGGAAGGCTGGACGTTCTTCAAGAAGGGAATCTTAAAGGTGCAGGAGCAGGCCGTCCCCATGTGCCAAAAGATGAGCTGGCGGGGAAGACGACCAGCCTGGCTGAACAGAGAGCTTTGGCTGGAACTCAGGAAAAAAAGGAGAGTTTATGACCTTTGGAAGAAGGGGCAGGCAACTCAGGAGGACTACAAGGATGTTGTGAGGTTATGCAGGGAGAAAATTAGAAGGGCCAAAGCCCAACTAGAACTTAACCTGGTTACTGCTGTAAAAGACAGTAAAAAATGTTTCTCTAAATGCATTGGCAACAAAAGGAGGGCTAAGGAGAATCTCCATCCTTTATTGGATGCGGGGGGAACATAGTGAGAAAGGCTGAGGAAAAGGCTGAGGTACTTAATGCCTTCTTTGCCTCAGTCTTTAATAGTAAGACCAGTTGTTGCCCAGGTACCCAGCCTCCTGAGCTGGAAGACAGGGACAGGGAGCCGAATGAAGCCCCCATAATCCAAGGGGAAATGGTTAGCGATCTGCTACACCACTTAGACATACACAAGTCTATGGGGCTGAATGGGATCCACCCAAGGGTACTGAGGGAGCTGGCAGAAGTGCTCACCAAGCCACTTTCAATCATTGATCAGCAGTCCTGGCTAACCGGGGAGGTCCCAGTTGACTGGAGGTTAGCAAATGTGGTGCCCATCTACAAGAAGGGCCAGAAGGAGAGTCCGGGGAACTACAGGCCTGTCAGCCTGACCTCGGTGCTGGGGAAGGTTATGGAGCAGA